TGAGACCCAGTCCAAGGCCGATCATATTTGGAAGGCACCCATGCTGCAGTCTTGAAAAGTTGGTTACAAGTGATCGGAGTAGTGTAGTGTAAGGGGATCGAAGATGGTTGGTGTCAGGATCTGATAGCAGCTGTAAAGGCTGAGATGGAGCCAGAGAAGGTGTATCAAGAGCGATCTCTTGCTACTTTTTTAGGTAATTTAGTTATACTGGATTGGTTATACCCTATGACAGTGAGTGATACCAGTTGATAGAAAGCGATTGCAGAAGGCAAGATTCATTCGGTTCGGCGCCTCTCATACTCCCGATCAGCCCTGACAATATAGAGTTCCATAGTATAAGACGGGATGGTATGGTAGTGGCAGGTTGACAAAAAGTATCAATGGTACAACGGGAACTGGCTGAAGCCAGTACTGTTTGAGGGGTTAAACTTTGGTTTACTCAGATTCAAGGAATGTAATATTGCATCACAATTCGAAAGAGATTGGGAACACAGTTATCTTCCCATCCGAAGCCCCATATCAGCTTTTCACTGTCAATTAGAAATGAGGAAGTTAACTGTGGTTTTTGTATCTCAACGCCCGTTATCAACCCCACCGATCACTTTGAGACTGCTGAGCGCCGTTTGCGCATTCAAGAAGGATTACAGTTTTTCTTGATCTCGATATCATTCGAGGCAAACCACCAAGTATCTGAGAATTCCAACTTGTGATTTATATCCATGAAGTTTAAAAAAACCATGAGCACGAATTTTTAAGATGGCGTTATCACCGGTCGACAGCACCAGTTCGTACTACTCAAGACTTGTGTTCACTAATCAGGTGGCTCCTTTTGGGTAAAGTACTGTCGAGTCAGCCGACCCGATAGATGTAAGAATTGACTACTTGGTTTATTATTGAAAGGGTCAAGGGCAAGAGGTCAAGGATGCGTGATCATAAGTGTACATGTCATGCTGTTATATTGCTCTGTCTACGCCGAGTTCCCCTCCTTTAGAGCCTAGTGTCAAATTTTACTCTTGACGTAATTCCGGACATTCCAATTCAGAATCGAAATTTTCTTTTCTGAAAGATGAAAATCGGCGGGTCAACTGAACTTTACAATTTTCAAGCTGAAACAGGGTGTTCGGCCGTCATGTAAGCCCGCCATCTTTGTGGTAGGTTTATACTTCGCCTCGTCATTCCGATCACCTAATAGGATCTGTGGTGTGAGGCGATTAGTATCGATTTACTCAATCGAACAAAGAACCATTATGATGCTATCCTTTGCGATAAAGCAACTACGTAATGGGTAAGGGATGCATGTAACGAAATAAAACTTGGAATTTACAAATTTATACCGAGACTTGGAATTTAGTTTATGGTTGAGTGCCTCACACGACAAATTTCAAACTATGATGCCAGTCACTATTCGTATAAGAGATTTCAAGATAGTCATTGTCATTGTTGGTATCTTGAAATTCTTTCGACAACTGAAAGCGCCGTTTGGTTTGCCACCGTCTGTACTATTGCACATGTGCATCATCTAACCGCGAACTGTCTTACTGATAGCGAGGGTGACTGTGTATTTGCTGGTGTGATCTGCAGGGTCGCTTGTCAGAAGTGAGGAGACGATTATGTAAGCGATACAGCTCATTTTATATGTGAATCAAAGAACTTTGAAATGGGGTAGTTATGTCGTAGCCATCAGCTGTCTTTGATTGCTACAGGATACATTGCCATAATGGAGTCGATTTGAGATTTGGTCGAGGTCTCGGCGCATGAAACACGAACAGCCGCATGGAAGACCCTAGAGGCTCTTTTGTTTGGGTCGCTCATCCAAAAGTGAAACGGAGGGAGACAAATATTCAGATCTAAACGATCTGAATATTATGGCAGATGTTGAGAACTTTTAACTGGCTTAGGTAAAAACAACGGAATTCAGTGAAATCTACTTGCAGCTTTTTTTTTCAGAAGCTTTTGCGCTTCTCTCAGCGCTCAATCCTTGCTGTTTCGCTCTCATCAGATATTTATAGGCGAAGTCTTTGTCAGCGNATGAATTCATCGCCTTTCTTTGCTCTTGCGGACACCTACCGTATTACTATGTATTTGTGGGGGTGGACTAAAATTATTAAAGTTCTGTGGTCACAACTGAATCGCTTGATCTCAAGGGAGGAGTGGAGACATACAGACTATCCGGCAAGAAGAAGGAAAGCTCGGTGTAAGCTAGGCGATGCAACTGGTATCTTATATAACCCTTATTTCATCACCCGCTTGTGCCAGGTGACGCGATACCTCAAGCGGTATCGATTGCAAACACAAAACCTAATGCTTTTTATACTTTGTTTAACAATTTTAAATGTAGCTCATGAGCAATTGCTCTGCCGCCCCGTTGGTGAGGAGGAGGTGGATAAGAAAAAATGAATTCGCGAGAGGTGGACCAAAAAGTCTCGGATTTTTACCCATGTGTTAACAGAATAGCGTATACCCTCAAAACTTGCGGGCCAGGCTCGCATGTGGATGCGAATCAACTCAATTTAGGCCTTTACATAGTTTTAAATAAATGGATCGTTCGGCTCAGAAACAGATACGATTAGTGGCGTCGAAGTAGCATTTATACCCCATACCCCCAATGACAAAGTAGCTACGAAGGACTAGGCTCAGTAGCGCCTTGAAATCATTAACGTTGAACTCCACAACTTTTTTTGGGAGATAGGAGATGCAAATACTTCTGAAATTGACTTAACAAAAGGGGAATGGTTGTATTCGAGCCGGCAGTCTAATTGTAAAATAGTCAAGCGTAATGTAGCCCACCCTACCTCACGTTGTTTTGAAGGGGATAGCCGCCTTTGAAACAGTGATATTCAGCGGGGGCTATACTACGCCTGACACCCACAGGTCAAGACTGGGTGTATCGACGACTGTCAGGCTACGCGCGTCAGCATACCATCGCTGTTCCCATACTTCGCGCTTCGACCGAGTCTTTTTCGATAATACAGAAATCCAAATTTCCATACTATAGAAGATCAATGCAAAAATTGGAAGCGAAAAGGAGTGAGAAATCAATCCTGAAACTCGTAGGGGCACTCAAATTAAAGTATCAAGCAGTCTCTTTCGAAACTGCGATAAGATGATAGACGAAAATAAGGTCCGTTGGCGTTGAAGCCACAAACTTGCCGTTTCACGCTACCGGGCATTAAAACGTCTGGAGGAACCAGTCTTTTTCTGTTCGGGTATGCCGTTTTCATTGTAGCCCCGCGCACCTCTGACTAAGATGTATCTGAGACCAATGACTTCTTATTAATTAAGGGCATTCGCGAAACTATCCATCAGATTCTCGCTTACTGCAACTCGTCTGACACGAACAACGAAAAGGGCTGTTCGAAAGTTTGCTTCAGTGGATCTCTTCTTGGGTTTGCTATTGCCTCCTTGGATGCAGTCTGAAAGGCTTTATTCCTCGAAGGTTAGTGCGGGCCACTGGGGTCATCAAGGGACCTTGCAAAAGGTTCCCTGAGGTGTTCTACTCATGGGCCAATTGAGGTGTTTCGTTTGGATCTCGGTTACCCGGTATCAGTGGAAATTCAATACAGCAGGAAGGCCTGCTTAGCTTAGACGCGCAGATTCATTCATTTTAGGCATGGAGTGCTTGAATCGCTCGAAAATCCCGTCTTCTTGACTTTGTCAGGAAGATTGTAAAGTCACATCGGAATGCATGATCCTGCATAAAATGGAGTGCTAACTCTTCTCAATACACCCCATCCCTAATGCAGATCCTTTGTAATGGTGTGCGGTGCTGAATTTTGCCAAGTTGATCGAACAACATGAATTTTCATATCGTCATTGAAATTAGCGGTCTATTCTAGGTCAGGAACTGCTTTCGATGCTAGGGGCAGGCATTAGTTGGAAATTGAAAGGCAATTGGCAGTTTTAGTAATTACGATTGTAGTAGAGTGTGCAGCTTGATCCCGTCACCAAATTTTTCGAAAGCTCCCTAGCTGCAACTGAAAGATGGAAGTACAGGTGAACGGAAGTTGTGAGGCAGCTGATGCGCTTCTTCTAGAGTTCCTGAAAATGTGCTGTTGCCTTGATCCTCACCCTTAGATCCCCTTTGAGCGCGTCGACCATTGAGGGTAAAGGTGGTCGAACCTATTATCTACAACCTCGAGAGACGTGAACCACCGACTGGAGGTTGCATGGCCCACGAAGTTCTATTATACTTGAGCCGCGGTGCCACTCAGGTAAAGCGGTTATGCTGAGATTCTTTTTCGGCAACAAATTCGCTTACATTTTGCAGTGAGGATATAATTTATCGAAAAACTGCATTTTTATTTTCCTTCACCGGTGAATTCGGAGAGCTTCCGAAGTCGATGAAGAAATAGGCGCAGCTCTGTCCACGTTAGATGGTGCATTCAAATCTGTGTCACTGAATTCATGCAGCAATTTCCCATTATTTAGAGGATCCCGTTCGAGTCGCAGATTTATAATGAGCTTGAATGGAACAAACAAATTTTCTGTATAATGTAAAGTATATCGGGTTACCCCAACTATTTGCTACAAATTTCTAATGTGCTTCCGAATGCCTGAGTGAATCGAATGAAAATGGGAGGTCGATCGTTCCACGGGACTATCACATGGTTCCTGGTCACCATTCATGAGGAACAGTGCTAATTTTTTTCACTTGTGGCCCTGATCCCCTCAGCAGTAGATGCTGCGAGTTATGAGATTATTGCATGTATCGCAACCTCACGCTTGGAACGGGCTGGGCACATAAAATCAGTGATCCGTGAAATCTGATTGTCTGCAATTTTTAGAAATTTAAGGGCGGCGAACTACGAGATGAATCTTTATGCCTCAAATGCCTGCATCCGGTTCCTTTGTTTTGTAACTGTAGATCCTCAAGAAATGTCCGCTATCATTAAATGCGAAACGCAGCGATGAGGCTTCATCCGTTGACGGCAGCTCTTTTCTGAATGTTCCCTCATGTGTTTCTATCTTTTTTGGTCTAGTTTTTTCTACGAAACATCCAAATGAAGTTAGTCTTAGGTTTTTATCAATGCTTATGCTAAAAAATTTAGTGAAGCGTTGCAGGCTCTAGGAAGACTGCGTCAGAGTTCGATGAAATACCCAAAGAAGAGTCAAAGAGACGCCTGGAAGTTCTAGCTAAAGGAATGGATGTCAATGAAGATGGATTCGTGGGTAAGTGATCAAAGTTCGCTTATATGTGTCAGCCTAGAAAATTCGCATTTTTATAGAGGTCACCGTAGATTTGCTGATAAAACATTCCTATCTCTCGGTTTCTCGACACACTGTACTTCCTTTGATTTGCGTTTCGTTTTGAAATTAGGTCCATAATATTTCTTACAGAATTAAAGTATCTACTAGAATTAGCATCTCTACTTTTCTAACTGTCACTCTTTGTATGAGTGCTTTCTATTCTTTGCAACAATATGATTATATATGCTTTTTGTCACGAGCAATTTATATTTCATTGATTTTTTCCAAATTACTTTAACTCGTCTTATCGTCGGAATCATCAGCTCCATTTTCTGAACGCTCGGCTTTTCTATGCACCAATGGAACTATTGTTAAACCTAGGTGATTGCCCAAGCGGCATGCAATGGAATGTGTGTTGTGGTGTGATTTTACACTCTCGTTGTCGGGTATTGATTGCGTTTTTGTACCGATTACTGTTATGGAACCTTCCAACCATCACACCAACGCTCACATAACAGTGTGAAAAGTTATAGGTATGATAAGTAATCATTGTAAAGCGATATCTCTTAGGTTACTCGCCTCTCATTTATTCACTTGCCTTTCTGCAATCCATTCCATGCCACTGCCCCCAACATGAACTAAATATTGTTTCATCGTGGGCGTTACATCGTTTTTCGTTTTTATCACGTCCTTTGCTTTTGACATGCTTTCGTTTTCGATCTCAGATTCTGGGAATCCTGGGTCAGGCACTTAGCAAGAATCCTGTAAGCCCACTCCCAGCGGTGCGGTCTAGATTTGAAGATTTACTCGATCAGATCACTAGTCAGCTCTTGCCTCTAGTTCTCAAGTCGTTCTCTGAAGTTTTGTTCATATCAGCAGTCCGTACTTGGTTGATTTTGGACCTTAAACTTTTCCATCACAGCAATTCGTTCAAATTGACGTATTTGTTTGAATCGATAACTTTGCTTTTAGATGAGACGGAGTTGACGAACTGGGTGGAGAGATCGATGGTGGCGTTGGACAACGAGGAAGTCATTGATCGGATGGGCGAGATGGATATGAACGGAGATAAACTGGTAGGAAATTGATGTAGCGATTAACCTTTGGTCCCATCTAATGGTGCGCTTATCATTGCGGGTGCATATCAAGGACAGTTCCCTTGACCTTGTCTGAAACAGGCATTCATTCGTTTCTCTTGGTCGCTGTTGGTAAACTCGTCTTGAATGATATATATTGCTGCCGAACATCAATTAATACTGAATGCAAGAACCAGAAGCGTTCAATCTTCGTTTGCTCGAAAAGCTTTGCCGAGTCCTTTTTGTCAATGACCCCCTTAGGTTCTATAACGGTAGTCCGCGACAGAAGTGCACCGATGCTGCTGTGTTGAGGTCGTGCTCGATGAATTCGTGTGAGCAAATGGACTGTGATGTAGGAGTTCAATCGCTCCACGAAGAATACCTCCTCTTGAAAAGCTTCAAATACAGCTGAAAACCGCTCACATTTTTCTTTAATTGCAGGTTTCATGGGATGAATACATGGCGGACTCGTTTCCCGACCAAGATGTGAAGAATCTTGACGCTGACGATAGGAAATTGATGGAGGAGGACAAGTTGTATTTCAAAGGTTATTGATTGATCTTGGCAGAGCGACATTGCGGTAGTTGAGGCATATTGTCGCTTCTTATCGCTCGGTGTCTTGTTGCCAGTGTTTTTCCTCCTACATAGCAGTGTTGTTTCAGCCGCTGATTTGAATGGAGATGGCAAGTTGAACCAGGACGAATTGAGTGCCTTCTTGAACCCGGAAAATTACAAACATATGCACAAGGTTTTAGTAGAGGTAGGTTCCAAGGGCTTTTCGCTATCCTTCTTCTGCAAGTGTCACAGTTTGAGGTTACAGTTTTTTTTGATCACTCATGGTGCTATGAAACGTTTATTGTTGAGTAGATCCCGAACTTCGTTGTCCAGAAACCCTGGCTAATTGCTTCCTACGTCTCATGCTGCTGCAACCTACTGATACCTAGGCAGTTGCATAGATTGTATTTGTACTTGTTCTGGGCGGCGATGTAATGCTGCGCTTCGGAAACACATCTCGCTACAGAAGAATGTATCGAAATGAGCATTTATAACAAAAATGTCTCGCAGACATTTTATCGAGCTCATCAGAAAAAAGTCTTCTCCGAATTTCTCTGTTTGAAGTGACGTATATTTACCACAGGTTACAATGAAGGAGAAGGACGCAAATAAGGATGGTGCGATCGATTTGAAAGAGTTCCTGGGTGAAATGGCTGATAACGAACATAGCGATTGGCATACTGTAGAAAAAGACAGGTAGGGTTTACACAATTGTTTTGAACTCAGCAGCATCGATTGAAAGGCGGAACCGATTCAGAGTAAACATAAGTGACGTTGCAGTCAGCCCTTCACTGGTGCATTTGATATGTGGCAGCCAACTGCCCTTCCATTTTCTCTTAGATTGTATATTATAACGCTCCCAGGTTGAGAGGAGGCATGAGAGTTGTTTCTTCTTCATAGTTGGCATGGCATGGCTCTTAATGATGCAAGCATTTTACAAGCTTTCCACTTCTTCAATCTGATTTGTCAACTCCTTAGCTTCCCCTATGTTATATACATTGCGTTCTGTTTTTTCAGGATAGTGTAAGAAGGGTTTTAGAATGGGGTCGTCATAACGACTTTCCGTTCCTTCGTGTGCGCTCAGATTATCCGTCTTTCCATGCCCTCCTTCCCGATTTCACTTTTCGATACTCGGCACGGGCGTCCACATCCCACGTTTGGGGCATTATATCATCAAATTTCAATGATATATATATCTTTTCTCGACTAATGAATGTTTCATGCGTTCCACTGTTACACTATCGAGCTCGTTAGTGAGGCAGCGCAGCGTTGGGTCCACGGCCCCCTCTTCATTTTCCATGAGAGAGGAGTCTCGACAGTACTGATTAGCTAAAGTGTTTTCAGGTTCCTGGCAGAGTATGACTCTGATGGTGACGGTGTGCTGCGTGGTGATGAAGTGCGTCGTTGGTTGATCCCGGACGTGAAGGCAGTCGCAAAACAGGAGGCAACTCATCTTATCAACGGTGCCGATAAAGACAAGGCAAGTTCTGTTGTGGGTAGCGTAATTTTCTTTCAAATTGTTAGCTTTTTAGAAATTCCCAGTGATCCCATTTTTGCTTTATAGTTTATTCGTAAACCTCGTTGTCAAGACAGCTACCTGAAAGATGGTCGTTTTCAGGATGGAAAGCTTTCGATTGCGGAGATCGTTGACGCCTACGAGCTTTTCGTTGGCTCAGAAGCAACCAACTACGGTGAAGATCTGCACAAAGTTCCGCACACCGAGCTCTGAGCTACACTTCCTTGCGTTTCCAGCTTCCCATCATAGTTTGTAGACTCCCGTTTGTGTACTCCTCATTCTAGCTGTTAGTAGTATTTAATAATTGTCAAAGCGTATATACTGCAAACGAAAAGCGAAAATCGGCTTAATGATCTCCTTCCGTAGTTCTACAGCGACAGGATTCGACATTTCATGTTGCTGCTGTGACTCATCTGCTATGCTATCACACCATCCTAGCTACCCGTTCTCGCCTTTCGTGCCAAGTATCGCACCCGTATAGGACCAGGGCTATTTATGACCCGTTTCGGTCTACGGTTAATCACATTCTAGCATGATCTTCTCAGTCATCTTTCTCCAAAGCTCCTCCTTGATCTTTATATTCGGCCTTATTGCCTTGTACTTCATCACTCATCAATGGATCTTCCAGCCACCATGAGGCTCATGATGCCATTCATCAGATTTTCATTTTATTTGATCTTTTTTTTGGTTACGGTATTTCAGAAGTAGTGGTTCGTATGGTGCTTCTTCCTTCCACTATTTGATCAGACAATGTTCTCGTCAATGTTGCTCTCTGTCTTGCTCGGTTATTATGCCAATGATCGTCTCGTCATTATGCTTCTCATGCTTTATCTAAAACAGATTTTTACTATTTAACTGGGTCTAGTTGGTTTCTAGTAATAAATATATTTTATCTGTCAGCATACCACTTTGTAAATAGTACTGATACGTATGTGCATAACTGCAGTCGTTTGGTAACGGCCGCAAAACCGAGGGATAAAAGTAATAAACGACCAGCTTTCAGGTAATCNAGCCCGTTGATTTGAACAGTTTGATGTCAAAAATGCATTGATGGGGGTGCTGCAGTCGTCGGCGAGCGTTGCCGCTGAAGCACGTAAAGTCGCTCTTTTAGAACGTTCAGCTCTCGTTGAGTAAGATGAATCCATGAGGGATAAAAGTATAAAATCTCTTAGTGTTAATCAATCCCGATTATGAGAATGCGCTGTGCATTCAACTTCCATTCAGAATCGTAATGGCATTTTGTGCGTATGTGGCCTATGCAATGACTCACGGTGGCCGGCCGATACGGCTCATTAGGGATAGAGTTTACAAGTATAAAATAGAGCTGTTCATATAAAGTTTTATCTTTGCACCAGCTAAAAATCAATTCATATCGAGGACGTACCCTCCAGGTCAAACGAATACTGCAACTGACAACAACATACCTTGCTTCAAACATATATAGCCTTGGTCACTTGGTAACTTCATTTTCATGAACCGTGTAAACTAGAGTAGAACTTTCTGGAAATAATCTACATTTCTGTAATGTCCTGATTCCCTGATTCTCATCTGTCTCGGACTGGAGGTTTCTATGATACCGGCAGAAGAAGCATTTTCTCGTGGAAGTTACTGCGTTGCACTTCTTCCCGGAGGCTCAGCATTCGTATGAAATACAAAGGACTTGCTGTGCAAATATGGTTAATCTTGTGCTAATTCAGACATTACTGTTGCGGATATCTTGGAATCCTGAGTTGAATGGACAAAGAAGCAAGACTTTCGCGAAAAAAAAAGCGATAGCACCTCTTAAACAGATGTAGGTTGCGAGTTCGCCGGTTCTTTCTATGGCGTGGTTTCGAAGAAAAAGGGCAAGATGACTAGAACAACAAAAGATTCTCTTGAAAACACAGTAGAGCCACTCTAGTTTCTATCTGCGTCCTTGTTTTTGGTCCAAATGCGGAGCTTCTAATGAAGCCCTTTCAGTATTTAGGTATATCGTAATATGGTGTTTTTTCTCTTTTCAGCAGGCCTCTTGTATTGGTTGTCGCTCCATTATCGTACGTCAGAACGTTGTGGGCACCATAAACGGGTAAAAAGCTGAAAAACAAATTTGTGGAGAAGAGGATGGTGAGGTTGTAGAGAGGATGACGTGCGATGACTGGCGAACNAAAGAAATTCGATTTCGATTTTGAGCTGACTTGGTACAGAGAGGCATCACAACAAAGCAGTGATTCAGCAACAGAAACAGGAGAACGTTGCTGGATTGATTTCGTAGAGCTGGTCGGTATCCTTCCTCGGCATTGCCTCAGATGGAGTGGCCAAGCAGTAAGAGGTCAGCATGACTGTCAACATCATCTTTTTCAACCTTACTATTGTAGTCATACTATCATGGATGGCGTGCAATGAGCTCCTTTCATCACTGGGAACAATCAGGAAAAACTCAATCAAGGAAAACTGTTCCACTTCGATGAAGTTGATCGAGCCTCGGCGGAAAGCGATGCTCTCCATTGTTTCGAAAAATGGCAAGGATCAGGCCTACTTCTCATTCCACGGCTCGTGATATTCTTAACAAAGAGCTCTACACTAACTGCCACTGGCTTAATACTTAAACACGTATGGATATGCCACCTTCTCTAATCGAGCATAGAAGAGAGCTGATATATAATATTTGAGAGTTTCTCAATTACATCAAGTGGGGTCAGTTCGCATTTTTGTTTTGAGGCCACTTTGTTACAAAACCCAGACAGGGAGTTGCCGAAGTTGGTAATGTGAGGCCGGAAGCTAGATCTTACTTGGAGGCATGTGTCCGACCCTTCTAACAAGCTAATCTTATCTGTGTTGAGTTCAGAATTGTGAGATCTTCAGTGAGGGCATTGTCGTGGCATTGCCAGCCTCCGTCGAAAAATTGCTAAAGATAGTAATTCGGCCCCTGTTTTGACCTCCTACTTGGGGAAACTTCACACTGTCATGGCCAACGTCCAACGAGGACGAACTTCTACCTCTTAATGATATCAATTCTTAACCCCCGATCAATTTTTTACCAGAAGCAGGAAATTAAGCTTCAGGAGGGACAGATAGTCGATAAGTGGATCGCCACCCCTCTTTCCCTTTTGGAAGGAACTTTATGTTTTTCCGTCATTTAGGTGGAGAAGCATCATGACCGAAAAAGGCTACTGATTTGAATAGTTATGATTCGTTTCTGATACTTTTGAAACATATGAAACAATCTGACCGAGCTTTCTGTCTCGAAGAATTTGCTTCATGCAATTTGCCATGTGTGTATGTACAGTGGCGCTCAAAAGTCTTCCGTGAAATGGTTCTTCAGTCATACGTTTCAGTCGTAACTCCTTTCCTACTGAATCTAATCATGCGAAATTTC